TATGGGGCGCTACGATTTGGGAAAAGAGTAATATCCATTGGGCCTAGTTACATCTGAGCCCAAACTTTTGTAGTGTTAGTGGGCCATTGGGTAATCCGTATTCCAGCTTTCATAGACACTAAGTCCATTTCCGACTCTAATATTTTATAAGTCGAAAAATAAATGTATTTTTTAATTGGTTGATTCTAAAGTCCCGCTACGAAACTATTTCTTCGGGTTTGTAACCGTTAGATCAACTATCCACGACGGTTACATAATGATCTAATGATTACAAATCCCAACAGAATGATTTCGTAACGAAACTGTAGCATTTCCCTACAATACGCTTTTCTTATAATGTGTTGCATTTGAGTTTAATTAGGTTTAAAAAGTTATCCCGGTGTACATAACACTCACATTGAGTGGCACCGACCAAACATATGGACCTCACTCTATGTGAATGTAATGTACACCTATTATATTTATACATTATGTACTTGTAGTATTTTTCCACGTGTAAATAAGAGTTTTGCTCTGTCAACTCGTTTAAAATCAAAGTTTACCTATGCCTTTAACTTTAAGCCTCAGTCAAATAAGACAAAATTTTTAAACAAAATAAGGCAAACACCTCGAAACTGTCTTTTTATTCTTACTACTTTACACCATTATTTAATTTAATTTACCCACTCCCAACTTGCTATATATATAAAAACACCTCCCCTTTCAATTATTCCACACAGGCAGATAAAATAAAATTCTCCCAAAAAAAAAATAATAATAATAATAATCTCTTTATATATTCCGAGAAATAAAAAAAGGTTAAGAAAAAGAAAAAAATGTGTGGTGGTGCAATCCTTTCCGGTATAATTCCGCCCCGCGGTGTCTCCTCCGGCGACCTGTGGCCTTCGTCGGCCGATTTCTGGCCAGCCGCTTTCGACTCAGGTGATCCTCCGGCAAAAAGGCCCCGACCCTCCAAAGGTGATAATTCAATCGGCCTTGTATTTCTACTATTGTTTTTAGTTTTGCTTTATAATTGCAAAAATTAATTTTATCTCAAAACCTTGAGTATTTATTCATTTATTTGACTTCTTAGAATGGACATTGTTTAATTTCAACAAAGAGGTGCAAATTGAAATATAGTACATTTGAAATAATAATCTTCAATTTTGATTGTTAGGCAAGTCCACAAAGTATATAAATATATAATTTTGACATACTTAACCTTTAAACATGTTGGAGATGCTACATTACCGAATCATTCAGTCGTGATTTATATCTTTCAGTCGTGATTTATAAATGTTAGATCAAATTATTCCCAACGATTACATGATGATCTAACGGTTACAAATACCGACGGAATGGTTCACGATCATTCAGTCGTATACATGATGATCTAACGGTTACAAATACTAACGGAATGGTTCATGTTTCCCATTATTGTTCAAAAAGTATAACAATTAGGCATTGTCACAAAATTATGTGAAATTGACAACTAATTGTTTCATTTTTTATTTTTTCCACAGCTGATGATGAAAGAACCGAAAAAAATGTGAAGAAGAAAAAACAGAGGAAAAACCTATACAGGGGAATAAGGCAGAGGCCGTGGGGCAAATGGGCCGCTGAGATCCGCGACCCGAGAAAAGGGGTTCGGGTCTGGTTAGGCACGTACAACACCGCCGAGGAGGCCGCCCGAGCCTACGATCGGGAGGCTCGTAAAATCCGAGGCAACAAGGCCAAGGTCAATTTCCCCAATGAGGACGACCTCGATTGCCGCCGCCGGAACCCTAATCCCGGCGAACCCGAGCGCTGCTACGAGCTGATCGATCCGGCCGGTTTCGAATTGAAGCCGGAGGTGGGTGGGGATGGCGGCGGAGGTGCGGTGGCGGCGGCTAATTTTGCTTCGGCGGCGGCGGAGGAGGAGAACGAGGTGGAGAGGATGACGGAGGAGCTGATGGCTTACGAGGACTACATGAGGTTTTATCAGATTCCGTATCTAGACGGGCAGTCGGCGGAGGCGCCGGCGGCGGCGATTGGGATGGGTAATCCGGCGGCGGAGACGGTGGAGCTCTGGAACTTTGGGGAAGTCTCCGGCGAAGTGTAGGCCCTTTTGGTGTGGCGTGTTTGTGTTTGTTCTACTTTTACCCGTGTTTGTTTTGTGATTCTAATTTTATTTTTTTCTGTTATTTAATTGTGTTAATTTCGTTTTGTTAACCAGGTTTGTGGCTTTGTGCAAATAAATGTAATCGTTCAATTGTTTATTATTATTATTATATGAATTTCTAATAAAAGTATGCAATATCTATGAAGATATAGGAAAGATTTTACGGTTCCGTTACGAAACTATTCCATCTAACTATCTTTTACAATTATATGATGATTTAACGATTTTAAATTTCGACAAAATAGTCCCAAAATAGACCGTAACATTTCCCTATATTGTATACCAATTATATCTCATTTGTTGACTTGTGCAATTGATTTGGATAACAACTGAACATATTGATTCAACTTGAATGGCTTTTCTTGTAAGAAAAGAAAAATGAAAAGAAAATTAAGGTCAAAGACAACAGAGGAAAAGGTTGACTAATCGAGTTGGGTAATTTGCTGGCACTTGGGCTGTTTCTTCGTAATAAAACCGGCGGTAACTAAAACTGGCGGCGCCGTCGGCTTCTTAATCTAACGGCGTCAAGCGCCGCCCACCGGTTGAGATTTAAATTTCAATTAATTAATTGAATTTTTGAGTGATATATCCATAAATTATTAGTTTGGTTTCTTGCTGCCGACTTTAGGTTATTAAATAATTTTTAGGTTAATTAATTCGCCAAAGATTGGTTAGATATTTTCATTTATCTAATTAGATTTACCCTCCATCTTATTAAATAACTAAAGTAGTCCGATTAAGATATATCTAAATATATTTGCACAAATGAGATTTTATTTTGAGAGTAATTAATACAATTTTTTTTGCTAATATTTTGCTAATAACTAAAGTAGTCGTGATGAGCTCGGTCGATGGTTATAGGGTTTTTTCATGAACATTGGAGTGTGCACCGTCATCGGGACCGAATTGTGGGGTTGTTTCAGGGCCTTCAGTTGGCATGGGATCATGACTATCGACAGGTGGTAGCTGAAGTTGACAACCAATGTGTGACGAGAATGATTTTAGGTTTGGAAAATAACTTTGGAGCCCACCACTCTTTAGTATGTGCCATTAGAAACATGGTGCAGAGAGAATGGAGCCTTCGAATCGAGCATGTACACAGAGAGACTAATTATGCTGCTTACCACATGGTGGATTTAGCGGCTTCGGCCCCATTGGGCTTGCAAAGACTATCGTCACCCCCCACCCCCAAGGGTTAGGAGCATGGATGGACCACGACATCCGTGGAGTGGCCTATCCTAGACGGATTCTAGTTCAGTAACTTCAGGCTTTGGCCTCATTCATTGTACCAAAAAATAAAAAAAAAAAATAAAAAAAAAAAAAATTGAAGTTCTGATTGTAGATTTATTCAAATGCATATGTAATTAAAGTATTAATGGTGTTTATTTTAAAATTATTAATTAAATTGACGATTTCATTGTTTTCGAGCTAACTAAATTTTATTTTCCAAGTTCTTGTGATTCGGGTTGTCTTTCATGATCAAATTAATAAAATAATAAAGCTACTTTACATAATGGTTTGATATATGAATTCATATAAATGTTCGTGGATTTAATAATAATGTGATATACGTAGAGCAAGATGACCATGGCAACGTTTTGTATAGTTTGATACTAAATAAAATTTGCATCGTTCTCTATGTTAAATTTCGTGTCATCCTCTATACTAATACAACGCCCGTGTATTACACGGGTGCTTGTTAATAATTTTTTCCTTAAAATTTAAAATTAATGAGAAAAAATAGGTGAAAATTTAAATACCTTTATAAAAATATATATATTAGTATATATTTAGTATGACACTTTTTATTTGTGTGACTTACTTGTGTTATATTATAATAATTTATTTATTTTATATATACAATATGGATGTCAAATCGACGATCATGAAAAGATGATTAATTTGATATATTATATATGTAAAACCAATAAGAAATACAAAAGTTATCAACTTTTAAAATACATTTTTAATTCAATAGCTAATTGAAGGAAACAAATCAAAAGTCAGAGATATATTAGTCATTTAGTGTCTCACTATGTAAAATTATAAAGAATTAAAAAGTTATATTAGTACAAATGATATTAAAATACCTAAGTTAGCTAAATAATATTTATGAATGTCCGAACCTAAATTATTAATTATTAATTATTAAATATTATTTGTCCAAACCTAATTAAGAAGCATGATTTTTCGCCAAGTAGGATTCCGAAACACCAAAAGCAGCCACGTAGACTCAGCGCATTCTGAAATTATATATAGAGGAGATTATATTATGGTAGAGTAAATAAAATTATTATATTAAATTTCTTGATTTTTGGATTATTATAACATGAAACTGAAAATTGATTCACTTTTATGGATAATTTTTTTTTTTAAAATAACATAAAAATGAATAACAAAGTCAAAGTCTATAATCCCCATTATTTTCCCGAATTTTTTCCGCTCTCAAAGTTCGTTTATTATAATAGAACGTGTGAGTTTACAAAGAAAGTGGTCAAACGGCCTAAGCTAGTACGCGTCGAAGGTACGATACCCCGACAATATCATGATTCAGCTACGCACCGATATTCATTATAATAAAATGTGTAAGTTTGGTTTATAATAATAATTAAAAAAAAAAAAGTTAAAAAGACTACAAATCTTTATAATTCATTATGAATTGTGATGACAGTATGACATGGGCCAATTTGTTGAAGTTACTCGATTATAGATTGATCCACTCCGTATTGTCATGATGAAAATTGGGCTTTTAGGTTTCTTGGGCCTAAAGAAAAAAATTTAAATTTTCGATACTTCTAAGACGTTAACTCATAGTTTATCACCACGTACAAAAACGTTGGGCCGGGAGTCCAAGATATTTTCCTTTTTTTTAATGTGTTTTTCATTCCGAAAAATAAAAGAAACATTATTTTATTTCCAATATTTTTTATTTTTTATTTTATTTTTTTTCATGTCCCACGACATATATTGTTTCTTCAGATTCATATACATTAAGGCTATTTTCTATGCATCTAGCATTGTCATAATTTTTCAAACATATATTATATATACATAATATCAAATGATTCAAATTACATTGTCATAATGTAAAAACTAACATAAACAAAAATTTTATATTTTACATAAGAACTGTATGAAACTAACATAAACAAAAATTATATATGTTACTACCTCCTATTTTTTTTTTTAAAAATATCATTTTGGTGTTATCAACAATAATTAATTGAATAAATGACATTTTGGATCTTTTGTACATATTTTTTCATTATTTTCATCATCTAGCTAATAAATACACCACGTCTTTTTATATTCACTCTTCATATTTTTTCAAAACGTTCATCTCTATCTCTAATAATGAGGGTTATTACTGACAAAAATTATTATTAATTACAATACAACTTCTCAAAACGATACTTATTAAAAATATGAGGGAATATATAATAACTATACGATTGTGATTGTTATTAGAAAGTAAAAAGATATATATTCAGTTGGAATTAAACTTCTTTATGAGTTTTAGTTGGATAAATTTTAGTGTCTGTAAAAATTTTAGGGGGAAAGCGAATATACATTTTCCGTTGGAACTTTTATTTAGACCATATTTCAACCATTGGAATTAAATTTTCCTTTGAGTTTTAGTTGGAATTTGATGATTCCAATAGTTTATTGTCGTAGCAATATATTTTAGGTGGTATATACAATATCCGTTCAAACTTTTATTTGAGGCATATTCAACAACTGAACAATTCTGCGTTGGAATCGTCAATTCAATGGAAATTATGAAAATACAAGAACGACTCATTTCGACATTGATATTTCTATTGAAATTCATTAAAAAAATTTGAACTCGCAATATTTAATTTTTATGCCCAAAATTTGAATATATAAATTAAACTCTCAACACATAACCATGCATGTGAATGCAATAATGTGCAGGAAACCCTAATTTCAAAATGCCAGCCAAAGCACAGCAAAAGTCTTGAGTGTATATCTAATCAATCCCATGACGTATTAAGGTTTGTTAGCTGAATTTGTACGCACCCAACTTATAGCTAATAACTCAATCTCTATCTTCTCAATGTATATAAATAGCAAACGGCAATAATAAAATTAAATTTTAAATTTAATAAACATATNNTTTTTTTTTTTTTTTTTTTCAAAAAGTGAGTTCCAATGCAGTCTTTGGCTTCTTCTTCTTCTTCTTCAACCCTTTATATCGGCATTAAATTCAGCACATTTAATTAGGTGCCAACTTTATTCTTAGTGAGGATCAATATTTCATTTTCATTTAATTTCCCCTATTGTTTTTATTTGGTTTTTATATTACTATAAAAGTAAGCACAAAACACACTAGTAGGGGATGGTTTCGTAGCACAAGTAGAACGGTTAAATGAAACAAGCTGTTCGTGAATTCGGCTCGTTAAAGTTCGAGCTCCTTAAAAAAAAAAATGAGCTTCTTGAGTTAATTTGTTTAAAGTTAAAAGTCTAGTAAAGGAGTTGAATTTTATATAAACTTTTATTTAATTTTATATACTTCGACTTAAGGCTCGAGTCATCAGAACATTAAGGCTGGTTAATATAGATAAATAAGCCGAACTCGAGCTCGTTTAGTTAATGAGTAAAAGTTCAGATCGACTTGATAAAATGTATCAGGAGCTCAGTCTCAACCTCGGCTCTACTTGTTTACCCCACAAAACATTAAAGGTAAAATACATAAATAAACATTAAAGGTAAAATACAAGAAGAGTTTGTTTTTATTAAATTATGAATATGGAGGTGTCAATAAAAATACATCACCAATTTGTTTTTATTAAATTACGAATATGGTTAGACAATCATATTTTTTCAACTTCAAGTACTTTCAAACTGAAAAATTGTATTCTTTCAAACAACATAAACAAAACTACGACATTTTATAACAAAAATATGCATTTTTATTGAAAATGTATGACGGGTCAACTCACCTAACGGTTAGATTGAGTCACACACACAAAAAAAAAAAAA